TGTTGCAATCTCGATGATGATTGACGGATTTCATTCTTGACCCAACCGGCAGCGGCAGCACATGTCAAAGAGCTATCATCGTATGCCAAATTACAGATGGAATGCTCGTTCATGTCGAGGTTAGCATTCATGGGCACGGATCCGCCTGTTTTAACGTGCAGCTCATCAGCTGCTATGGCTTGATCTGTGTAGCGTGTTGATCTGTTTTCCACATCTTCCACTTTGCTCTCATCGGCTTTCTCATATTTCAGTTTTCTCAAAAAAACTTTATGATGCTCATAAGAACAGGTGAACAACAGGCAATGCACAACAAACAAGGGCCACAGTCATCGTGTTGATGAGTCGACCGTTCATCCTCCTCCTCGATTTATCATTAATGTGTTTCATGAGGAAATCTCGTGCTAACAACACATTCGCACGATCGCCTTTCCGTGCCAGCATGTCCAACAGAGTTACTGAATATGACAAGGTCATCTCCAGGGCAACGATGTCGTTTGATGCATGATTCCATAAACCTTCCATGATGCCGCATATGCAACTTTCAAGTCGTTCAGCTTGTTCACGATCACCATCGCCAACAGTAAAACTCACAGCATACTTGAGAATGTCAGGTCTCTTCATACCAACATGTTAAGCAGATGTCCACTTGTGAAACAATGTCGAATCACGAACGAACAAATGGTCGATGTCAAAGGCATGACGAGTCTCCGAGCATTCACCTTCATCCTTTGCGTATGTCGCAAGAACATGGTCAGCAACTCGTACTAGCAGATGACACACCTGACATTCGTGAGTCTTGTGATCAGCCGATCCGTTAAGACTCTCTGCAACGTGAAACCATCGCTCGTAAAGGGAATCCATTTCGTAGAATGCGAAGTCACGAGGCAACTGATCAGTACTGTATTGGATGAAGGAATGACTCGACTGCATGTCAAGCATGCGTATTTATACAAGTCAGAATGGGGTGGGTTGAAAATGCAAAGTTGTCAACCAATCACCATCAAGCCCACCAAAAACAGATGATGGAACCTTGACATGATTGATCTTGTCATGATTGACCCATTCCTTGATGGTGTGCACATGAGATCACCCTGGTTCATCTTTCTCTGGCAGAGCTCCCGAAGGGAAGTACATCTTATATCCAGGTTTGTAGAAGGATTTACCCGATAACTTGTAGGACAGCTGCATATCCTCCTGAAACCCATCCACCACAATTACTTTGTGGAGCTTGGTAGGAGCAGGTGATTCATAGCGACGCTTAGCCGGTACTGGCTTCGAAGAGAGCACAACTCGAGGAGGGTCAGCAGGAAGAGCGGAATTCTTCTTCATCCGTCGCTCGTATAGGGAAGCCATTTTCTAGGAAGTGAAGTCAGGACAACTAGTCAGCACTGTATCCAAAGAACGAATGACTCAGCTGCAGGACAATCATTCGTATATATACAAGTCAGAGAGGTAGGTGGATTGAAATGATAAGATATGTGTCAACCAATCAGCATCAAGCCCGCCAAAAACATTTGACCAATCAACATCAAGCCCGCCAAAAACATTTCACAAATCAGCATTGTGCCGGCCAAAATCATATCTCATTATAAAGATTCCTTACATGCTACCGCCACCTTAGTGAATTGATACAGTATGGAAAGAAGATCACAGTCAAACGTGTGCATGTTCTGGATCACGTGATCAAGTGAATAGGTTTCCCAGCAATAAGCATCAATCAATGATGTCATAAGAGATATATCAGATGGAGATAAAAGCAGCAAATTCGAACGCAACGTGGACAATTGCAATGAATACACCATCCTAGTCGACTCCATGAGATGCAGTACATATAGGAGTGGAAAATGCTGAGGAAGAGGTTTCATGATTCGACTGAACCTCAACCAGGATACATTGCTATGAGGTAATTAGGAAAGCAGTTTACGTAATGCATCAACATTCGTTTCGTATACTATACAGGATAATGCTATAGCATAGTTTATACTCTTGTACAAACAGGACTTCTTCATCGCACGTATCTGCTCTCGAAGAGAGTGTACACGAAGCTGATCGGATAAGAGTTCAGTTTTCGAAAGAAAATGCAAAAGATGACGATCCACACCACATAACCTCTCATGTGCAGCGTAAAGCTTCTTCATCGAACTACATCTCTGATGCTCAGGTATAATAAGGTGATCATGTGTGTACAAAACTTGTATTGGTAATAACTTTGGCATACATTCATATTTTTCAACCAAATTTTCTGTGTTGATACATTTGGTTAGTTGTCATCGATTTCCAATATCAAATTTAAATTATGAGCTGAATGACGTCATCAGTGCCACTTTTTTATGTTCAGATTTCAACCCAAAACGCGGAGAAAACGAAAAATACTAAGGCCACAAATCCTGGTGAACTGGATAGCCTTTGGGCCCTAGATAAAGGATATTGGTGGATATTGTACATAGATAACAACATTTCGCTGGAAACCAGTATCGACTTGTTTCACCATACGCACTGTACACATTAATATACGAAGCTGTCGTACCTCGGGGTCTGTTCAGACTCACCACCGCGATGAACGGGTGTTTAGTATCGATATCCAGCACATTCCCGCTTGCTGGGATGTACAGCTAGCCAATGCAACAGCTCTTATTCGCCAAAGACATTCCCCGCACTCCGCGTTTATGGATGAAGGTGTCAAAATAGCCGACATTGTCTCTTACACATAAATGACTGCGCTGTACATGTAGTGCATCACACCAGCAATCTGCTGTAGATCTACAGACAGTGCATGCAGCGAGCCGAGCATGCGCACTTGAGTAGGGTACTTGACTCCCACGCGCGATCGCTGGTCACAACTGAGTCTGTACAAGCGACTGTGCTCGTGTCGTCGTGATTTGCAAGTGCACTCTGTACTGCACTGATGTACTGTATGATAGGACAGGAACAATGCAAGTGCAGTTTTCAGTGCGTGGACTCGGCTACTAAAACATTTTGTGGGAGCAAACAAGCCTTCTTTATGATCTTGGTCATTTTTCTCAATCGACTCTGCGCTTCGAGCTAGATGTGTTCGTGGGGTATTGCCCAACTAGAACTGTAGTCCTCACATGCCCCAGGTCGCGAGGAGCTAATCACTTTTGTCAGCAGAACTCCTGCTCGGCACTCGACACATTTATTCCGTCCGATGTCATCCCCGCTGCGAGTGGGGAGCTTCATGCCCACGATAAAAGAGAACGTCATGATATTTGAATCCTTCATCAGAGAAAGCTATTCGAGCTCAAAACGACACAAGACAATGGCCATGATAAAGATACTCGTACAGATCGCGATGTGACTCTCCTCCAAAAGTGCTGCAAAAGACTAGAAGTATTTTTCAAAACAAGATTGTGAAAAAAAGCTGAGCGCTCGAGTGCGGCGAACCCGGCCAAACGCCATGTTTTCCTTGGTAACATGATGACAGCCACATTATCACCATGGCGAGTTGCAGCGCTGATCTTGAAGTACAGCGGCACCAGAAAAGTGTCCTTATTCTACCTGAGTGCACATCAACTTCAGGTAAGTAAACCACATCTATGACAAGTCCACAAGAAGAACATACGTATTATCCTTCATGAACAACAGTATCGAGATGATGACACTGTCTTTCCTCCCCTTCTTGCACTCCTTTTTTTTCTCCTTCTTGTTGTTCTTCTTCTTCACAAAGGTTCTTTTCACGTACATAGGCACGTAAGATCTCAAATTCAAAATCCATCTTCACCCCACATCATCATCTCCATAATGAAACATTATCCAACAATGTATCTACTTCTTATACCCACTCCCATCCGGGGCAAGGTGGGGTACAATCCACCCTTCACCCGAAAAATCATTTTTACGTAAAAAAACGGGCGCCCAGTTTTTACCCCAAAAATGGGGTACTATCAATAGTACCCCACTTTTCGGGCTGAACCATGTACCTCTCACAGAACCGGCTTTATACATACTACTGAGATCTATCGGCAACAGAAAACTCTCAGCTGTCGTCTTGAAGAAACCCGAACGAACGCGATCCAAGATCCTGGAGTCAGGCTATATCTCAAGCTGTATTATGAGCTTTGTAAAAATTAATGCACTTCAGCTGGGGATTTGCCCAATTTTGCGCGTCCCTAGCCAGCCAGGTGCTATGACCAAATCATGCTACCGGCATCCAGAGGTCTTTGCAAAATCCCAGTGCTCTACGATAAAATTTGAGGGAATTGCATTGCGATGTGTATTTCGTAGCAATTGACATGATGCGTACGCTTGCTTCGCTCACTGTACATTTACGTTGATGCTTGTCATGTCTACAGGAAATGTATTACTTATGGATAGAGCCTAACAGAAAGTCCGAGATTGTGAAAATCGACCTACAAGTTATTAGTGGAGTTATTCAACTTATCGTGGGAGAAGTATGTGCAAGAATGCCGATTTCGCATTTTCTGAGATCAGTTCTAGTCCTTAAGGATTTGGAAGACAAAAGGTGGCCACGATGGCCCTCCTCATGGCACGAAGCTCCGCGCTGTGCGTGCCGCCATTTGTGACAAGTGAACTGCTGAGCGCGACAAGGACCTTTCGACAGGGAGTATGAGAGATGCAAAGATGATCGCGCAGGGGTGATGTGGTTAGGTGCAAGGTTTGTGTGCAGTTTCCAGGAACATTTTGTTCGTTCATATCGTTCGGTCGAGAATTTAAAAAATGTTGCCTTTCAGCGACATGTGAGGCAAAATGGCAAGTCTGGGAAGTGTCAGGACATTACGTCAGTACGACCCTTATCACATGGCCTGGAACACAAAACGTGCACATGCGCTTGGTAACAAGCCGGGGGAGGGGGGAGGCACAATCCAAGGGAGGGCTATATATTTTGTTCACATGCTCATAGAGACTGGGGCACTCTTCAACATAGAGCACTATTCAAGAGAGGGCTCTAATCGCGACAGTACGGTAATCCTTCTTTTCTGCTCCTACACAAACAAGCATGCACCAGGGATATCCTGACTCACCAACTGTTTCGCTTCCAATGGATGTCCAGCATTCAACAGACATTCTATTACGGACACATGACCTCCGGATGCTGCAAAGTGGAGTGGTGTGCTATCAATCTGGAAGTAGCATCGTTAATGAATACAAACCATGCACACACAAACACACACAAACACATACACATACATGCATACACATGCAGATTCATACACATGCACACATACACGCATGTGCGCGCATGTGCATGCGCACACATGCACACAAGCGCGTGCACACACACACACACACACACACACACACACACACATACATACACACTGTCTTGTACTTGTACTTGTACTTGTTGCTCACTGCCAAAACTGGTCACGTGGGTCTCCCCGGGAGAGGGGAGAGAGACTCCAAAGGAATCTTGGAAAGATGACTCAACTGGCTATTGAACCGCCCAACGGCCGACACCCCCTGAAATCCCCAAAACTCTGGGTGGACTTGAAAATGATCCCACTTATGGGCTCACCACACCTCAGTAAGTGGGTGAGGACAAGGTGCAGAAAAAGGATTGACGGCATCAGGGTATCCGTCCTGGGATCCAACTGCAGTTACCCCTGCCCCCAGTGAAGGTAATACTTGCTACTAGTGTGGGTGGCTAAATCAGAGTGGATCTGATCTAAGCGTCACTAGTATCATTGATTACACAAGAGTTAATCTAGCCAGAAGCAGTCCATGGTTAACAGGTATGTATACTTCAAATAGAAAGTAACCTGAAATCAACAAAGGTGGCAGATACAACAATACACCTTCAAGCAGCCGAGCCTGTTGGCAACAGACCCAACACAATCAGGCATAAGTGTACCCACCAACCGGACTAGCTGGCACACACACACACACACATTATACATACACAAACACACACACACACACACACACACATATCTCATAAGTTCGCATTTTTTTTCTAAATGTAAGGCATTTCAAACGGGGGTGGGGGGGGGGGGGGTGGGAGCGCCCTTTTCGAATAGAAAAATGACAGTTCGCACATTTTCTGGAAGTGTACAACACTGTGCTGTGCATGTGCTAGATCGCTTCAGATAACTGTGTTTACATGGTTTAGGTGTGGATCTACCTGTGTTTGCAGATCAGCTAACCATTGCACTGTATGCATGCATGCAGGCTACTCAGAGGTGTCAAATGTCACACCAGCCTGATCAAACGGTGTACCTGGCCAGCTTTTTATACAGCAGTACATTGACATTGTACACTGTACATGCACAGCTGTTATGGAGGGGAATTGGAGGAACTACATGTACGTTTATGTGTGTGTACATGACCATTGATGACTACACGTCATTGATTGTTCTTGTACTCAGTAATTTATTATTTATTTATTTATTACAGCATCTCATAGCACAGTGAGAACACCGGCCAATCCAAAGAGAGAGGGTGTTAGCCAACCACGGCAAGGCAGGGAGAAGGGGAGGAGAAGAAAAAGGAACCGGCATGGATAAGCAGTGATTGCAATCAAATCAGAAACGCAAAATCAAAATCAAGGCGCGACAAGGCTCTTAAAAAGGCGGAGGGAAGAAAGGTCCTTAGCTTTTTGGGGAAGTGCCAGCCACGCAGAGTACGCAATAAAAAAGGGAGAGTGAAGTAGAAAGTAATGAATAGTAATAGGTTGTTCATTTGACCGGACGAGACCACACAACGCTTGCAGATCACAGCACGAACAGTTCATCAGCCACACTCCACGAAAGCAAGTAGTAGTACTCCTGACGAGTCTTGTTTCGTTCCATAGAGATAATAACGGGGAACTCATCAGAGGAGAAGCAGTTGTTGAATGAAGGGGTTTAGCTAAATAATGCTATTTTATAGAAAAGATATTGGCGCACTGAGGTGTAAACACTCAACTAACTCACATATGTGACATATCAACACAAAAAGGGAATAGTGCAGAATGGAGGTGTTCTGAACTCTACCAGACACAACTATCACAAGTGCTAAATCATTCACACTGAGAAGGAGAGAGGTACACAGGAATAGGTTGCGCTAGCTTACACTTCACAAATGGTGCTGAGATAGTGACAAAGATAGGTGAAAAGTAGACGCCAAGTGAAAGCCAAGAAATCATCACGGACGTCTAACGTCACATCTGAAGATATCTGAAGATGTTTTTCAGTAATGAATGTAACTACTGGATGCACTACAGTACTTCACTAGCAAAACATTCATATCCATGTACATACCCAATGCTGTACACATGTACATACCATAGCATGAGGCATGAACACAGGTACAGTAGATCTACACAGAAAATGTGCCATAAGACTTTCAAATAGAGGGGGGGAGGTAGGGGGGTAAAGTCTATTCGAAATGCGTTACGTTTGCAAATAAAATGCGAACTTATGAGATGCTCCCTTAGTTAGTAAAGGCAACACCGGCACTGGCATAGAGAGTTCCGCATCCTTATGGATGAAGAATTCATAGGGAATTGATGCCTTCTACAGTGAAACCTGTGACTAACAACCACCCCTTGGGGCCAGAGAAAGTGGTCTTTAGTGGCAGGTGGTCCTTAGTTACAGGTTTGCACCACCCAACCATGTATGAATGTGAGACCTTCCGTGCCTGGCGAAGTGGTCTTTAGTACCAGGCTGGTCGCTAGTCACGGTGGTCTTTAGTTACAGGTTTTACTGTACTTAGCATCTGAGATGGGTTGGTCTTCAATTAAGTTGGTTATGGGCTTTGAGCAGTATCAGCTCCAGTGCCGGTTCAGGCAGGTCAGCGAAACTGAGGGGGGGGGGGCTGTGGGGGGGGGGGGGGGGGAGGCGGGTTACTTGGACCCGTTTGAAAAAAGAATTATTAACGAGAGATTGGAAGCTCAGGGCCATACACTATGCTTTTTTGCCTAGCTCATCATGCATGTTATTGGAACTGATGGAAATGTTTTTTTCCATTGATTGGTTACATCATTGTTTTGCACAAACGATACAATCAGTTTGAATATGAGTTAGGCAAAAGTGATTGCAGAATTTATTGGGTTATATAAACTTTCTCTTTGCATTCGAGGGTAATACGACACCGTCTACCACCTTGCTGACCTAGGCAAAACAACATAGAGATGTTATGTATAGATGTTGTGTATAGAGATGTTATGTATTTTTGTTTTTTCAAGACATAACCAAGGATTCTAACTCGCATTATCGTCCGGTGTGCATTACCCCGATACAGTTCGCTTACATACTCATTCTTCCAAGTTGCTTCACGTTATGATCTTGCTTTTGAAAGCCCTATTTGAATATTGTGGCCAGCTGTCTTTGATCAAGGGCGTCACACACGGCACGACCACTACGACCATGGTCGTACCACTTTTCGTTCATGATAGTCCACCCAATTCATCGAAAAAAGCAATAAAAAATTCAAGGATCTTCGGACTTGTACAAAACATCGCAACAAATTACTTTCATTGCAAGGAGGAGCATACAGACTTGATGCCTAGCACTAGCAGTTAGTTATTGCCCAAGACTCCAGGCGGTTATCCATTACGATAGACGGTTGGAGTCACGGGTAGGACCAACCAGACGATTCCTCACGGACGCATTCCCTGAAAACTTGATAGAAACAGAGCTGAGCTGGCGGCGATCACTGGGTCCAGAACTAAAAATTTCCAAGATCTACCGTGTTAAAATGGCGATCAGCACGGTCAAGAGACTCTACATGTATGTCACTTGTCAGCTACAACATAATTATATTCTTTCCACAACGACACCTACCTAGTACCTCTGGCTCCTGGCGATCTACTGCAAGCTGATGCGAAAATGCATTACACCCGCGAAAGCCGCGCTTGTAAATGGAAAAGGGAAATGCTTCATTCTCCGAACTAGAAAAGTGTTTGGACTGCTGCTCCACGGCGGCAAAATATTCTGCAGCTGTTCACCGACACGACCCGCTTCACCTAACGATTTACGATCGTTTCGTTCTCCGAGTTTTTTGGTAGCAGCAGCAAGAATTGCGTCCGCGACGACAGGACGAAAGTCTCTCGCAAACAAAAGTCCTGTTGCAACGAAGACAGAGAAGATTCCGCAAGCCCTTTCTTCTGCTTCCAGTGTTGTAGCTCTCCGGTCCACTGGCAGATCTTTCAATCCCACCGAATAAAAAAGGATCTTCTTCTCTCTCTAAAAACAACCAAAATATTACTTTGCGACTGTCCAGGCCGGCCGTGTACATAGTGCATGCGACGCTGCGGACCTTTGCAGAACATAACATACGTTTTCGCACAGCGGCTGGCGCTAGAACGGGCAGCACGCTTGTACTTCGGATTTTGCGATTTTTTCGAGGGCAATGGGTTCCTTTTGCCTTGCTTGGCTACCTACAATGTACAGAAAATACTAAAAATACTTCCTCCGCGTCATCGAAATTGTCGCAGTTTGACTTTTGACATAAAACGGGGTGTTTACTCACCAGCACTCGTGATACAGGAATCGGACGTAGGCGATAGTCATCAGTATAGGGTGACGGCAAAGTTCTTTTTTCTGAAATTGGAAGCTGAAATATTTGAACTAGACGCAATTTCTTCGCTGATGTCGCTGCGATGGTAATTTCGACTCGCTGAGATCAGTCAGGCGTTGCAGCCTGCACATTTCTCGTGCTTATGGCCATCCACTCAAGCCTCATCACTGTTTTACCTTAGCTGGGGTGAGAATGACTTCGTGGAACAAGTGGCAGCGCTTGGAGAAACATCGAGGGGTCAGCAAACTAAATGCATGCAACAGCGATAAAATTTGTCCCTCTGGCTGAGACACTCAGTACATGATTGTACCTGCAAGAGCCGTGTAGACTCTACACGTAGTGCTAGTGATGCACGCCCAGGTGCCGTACCAGTGATGCTGAAAAAGAGGTCGCGCTGACGTGATAGTACACTTACCTGCACGAGCTGTGACCACACAGTTAAAATATATGGGCATGCCACGGCTAAAAAAAGTTCATTTCAAGATCAAGGTGATTCCGCCGACGGTAATCAACCGACCTCGCAACGATCGTGTATTCATACTTCTTTGGTGGTGAAGTAGAAATCATCCAGAGCTAGTAGACGACAAGCATAGCAGCTCTTGTCCTGTGGAGAAAGTCAAAG